GCAGGTGTTCTAGCGGTTTGTGCTGCTGCAGGCAGGGTGCTGTGCCGCTGGGTGTGGGGACTCATTGGTCGCTCCATGGCCAGCGGGGGTGTTGGTGGTTTGAACTCTGCAATTCACTAAAGACGGTGAGGCACACAGATACTGCGGGAGTGGGGGCCAGAGAGAGAAGGGCCAAATTGGACACGGTGCCCATCACCACCGCGTAAAGGCAGCTGCTTATTGAGAACTCCAGTGGAGTAATACAGGAATGCTCATTTCTGTGTAGTCAGTCAGCAAGGAGAGGCTGTCCTACTACCTGCGATGGAGCTGCTAGCAGCTGGCACCCAGGCAGGTTCAGTGAGAACCATCCCTGCTCACCAGCTGTGCAAGGGATCCCTCAGCTTGTCCCCCCCAGGAGTCTATAGTTCCCCCCCCCTCCCCACTGCTGTCTTTGGAGTGCCCCGGTTCCGTTCCACCAGCCTGAGCTGATTTCCTGCAGCGCTGGAAACGAGATGCTCACGCGGCTGCAGTCCAACAGGCAGGGTCTTGCGGTGCTGCAGTCGGCCATGGGACTGCGGTGAAACGTAACAGCTTAAGCCTGGACCCTGGGCTGAGGAGGAGTTAGACATTGAAGTGAAGCGTGGCTGCTCAGCTGCTGAGCATGGGTGCTGATGGGCACCCTCACCCAGCCAAGCCTTACGCCTCATTTGCCCCTTGCCTAAGCAGGCAAGGGCTGCAGTGGGATTTCTGGGCTCGTGGGCTGCCCCCACCGTATGACCAAGGGCGTGTGCCGGGGGCAGAATATTTCCTTCTCTTCTGTGTCCAGGAGCCACCATCCTCTGCTGGAGGCTGTTCGGCAGGTACATAGCACTTTCCACCTTCACTGAGCAGTAGGCCTCTTCCCATCACGTCATGTCCATTCCCCTGCCCGTACGGGGAGTGCTCCCCCATGGGCTAGGCTAGGGGTTTCTCCAGTTTTAATTAAAAGCAAAGGAACTCCCAGCCCTTGCCTTAGGAGACCTTTCTCTGTTTGCTTCCATTACTCCTCACTATGACCCTCCTTCTGGTGTGTTACCGTTGCTTAGCCGCACTGTGGAGTTAGCTCTTTTAATCTCTCCTCATGAATCAGTCCCTCCAGCCCCCTGATCGCTTTCCTTGTTCTCTGATTTGTCAATGCCGTTCAAAGCCCTTTGCAAAGAGTTACTCTTGCAAGCCCTTTGGTAGCTGGTCAGTATCATTATCCCCATTTTTCAGATGGGGAAACTGAGGCTCGGAGAGAGGAAGGGACTTGGCCAAAGCCAAAGGGAATTGGCATCAGAGCCTGGGTTGGAACACAGGAGTTCCTGCCTCCCTGCTCTGTGCTCACAGCGTTAGACGAAGCTGCCTCTCGCAATGCCCCCTCCCCTGCACCCAACTTGAGCAACAATCCCAGCCTGGTGATCAAGAGTCCTGAGTCACGGTCTCTGGCACAGAGACTGGCTAGCCCCAGTGATTTTCAAAGAGTCTCTTGTCCTTGTGAGGTTTGTGTCACTGGGCTCTGCTGAGGTGTAGTTCTTGTGCTCCTGCCCCCACTCTGCTCTGAGCAGGACGTGTTGGTGGGGATGGAGTGCAAATAGCCCCAGGAAAGTAAAAATAGCCTCCCAAGCATAGACCGCTCCCCTTGCTGTACTGAGAGCTCCATCAGCTGACTTCAGGGACACAAATCCATGTCCACTGCTCTCCACAGAGCCAGCCCAGCTCTGAGAGGGAGACCGGAGTCTATCCCAGCTCATGCGCCACCAGCAGAATTGCTAGCTACAGAAATCAACTGTGCATTGGACCGTCCATCCCTGAGGAACGCCAATGGGATTGGTCACATGGAGCAAATGGAGTTTGGAGACAATGGGGTTATGCAGGTGTAGCTCAGAGCAGCCTTACCACGGATGATGCATGAGCCAAAACGAACCCAGCTTGCTCTCAGGCCCTACAGGCTGTGTGCGGCCATAGCGCAAGAGTTGATAAACCCCCCAGTGCAACGTGGACACTTTTAACCTGTGTAATAAGGTCAGGCCCAGACATGTGGCAGCAGGGGTGGGCTGCCATATTCCCCTGGATGCACGAAGGCTAGGGTTGGCGTGGGCTCGGTAGATCTATGCTCCTGGGCACATTGTGGGCGGGGTATTTAAAGGCCTCGTGGCACACACAGGACTGGATCTCTCATGGTGAATCTCCACGCTATTAAGTGTGCCGTGCATAGTGCTAACACTAGATATTGGTGAGTGCACAGTACCACAGGAGTCAGAGTCGGCCACCAGACCTTCATGTGTGGGTCTCTGAGGCTGTTCTCCACTTTAAAATTGTAACTTTTATATACATCAAAATACACGCATGCACACACGCACACACGCGCACGCACACGCACACACACACACTCTCACTCTTCCTAGGCTGACCTGTAATAGGCAAATGAAGCTCATTTCATTAAGTTGCCTTGGTCAATGCTGGATTGTGGCACTGCCTGTCCCACTTACGAAAGCCAGTGTCTAACATCAACCTCTGTTTTCCTTCTGATCCCAGGAGGAAAAGGCTGGTCCCAGGACCAACATCTTATTATTGTTTTATTACGGTTCCTTTATTTTTTCCCCATGTCATTTTATGTTAACAGGAGCCATGTTTTCAAATCCGCCGGCGTTAGATCTCTCTGATGCAATGTTAAACCAAGGTCCTGTCCCTTTCTGGTCGTTGAACAGCCCATGGAACTTTTCTGCACGGGCGGGGGGCTCAACCCTGGTGTCCCGACCAAATCCCAGATTGGGTGGTTACGTTCTTCCAGCCTCAGTTCCCCTGCAGTTTCAACAGGAGGAGTTCATCTTTTCTTAAACTTTTGAAAACTTATTGTGTGGCGGTGTCAGTGAGGAGTGGCTGCTGCTTTCCACCCCAGAGAGCGCTGCAGTTCAGCAATTCCTTCCTGTTCTGAAGGAACCTGAGAGACTTGATATCAAGCGCTCCAGAAATATAAGATTGTAAGAAGCAGCATTTGTGCACTGAGTTCAGGAGCAGGTTAGGGTTTTAGTGGCAGATGGTGTCAGAGACGTGAGTAGGGTTACCATCCGTCCGTATTTCCCCGGACACGTCCGGCTTTTGCGTCTCTAAATAGCCGTCCGGGAGGAATCGGTAATAAGGTTAAAATGTCCGAGGGGGTTTTCTCCCTCGCCTCCCTCCCTCCCTTCCATGCAGAGTGCGGCTGCTGATTGGGTGGCTGGGCCGATTGAGCCGCTCCCATTGGCCTCCAGCAGCCAGAGCCCTCCCCTGCTCCCCCGCCCCTGTCTGCAGCCCTGTGTAACTCACAAACCGACCCACCGGGCAGCGTGTTTTGCCTACACGTGGAGCCAGAATGGTAAGGGGAGTCCGGGGGGGCAGTCAGGGAGCGGGGGAGTGTTGGATGGGTCCCCGGCCTCCACCTGCCACCCCCCCTCCGCGCGTCCCCCCCCGCCGTGGGGTCCCCCCTCCCTGCCTACCTCTCCCTTGCCTGCTTGTACTGCCAGAGCCGGCAGCAACTGCTGTCTGCTGCCCCCGGGTCCTAGCGTCCCCCATCCACTAATGGGAAGACAGGCTGCCCTTACCCTGCCCTTCCACCCTAGCCCCGAGCCTCTCCAACGCCTCAAACCCCTCATCCCCAGCCCCAGCCCTCATCTCCCCGCACCCTAATTCTCTGCCCCAGCTCTGAGCCCCCTGCTGCATCATGAACCCCTCATCCCCAGCCCCAGCCCTCATCCCCCCGCACCCTAATCCTCTGTCCCAGCCCTGAGCCCCCTGCTGCATCATGAACCCCTCAGCCCCAGCCAGAGCCCTCATCCCACCACACCCTAATCCTCTGCCCCAGCCCTGAACCCCCTCCTGCATCATGAACCCCTCATCCTCAGACCCACAGCCCTCACCCCTGCATCCCCTCCTATCCCCAAACTCCCTCCCAACCCCCCTCCCCCTTTCCACACACCCCCGCCTGCCTTCAAACTCCCTCCCAAAGCCTGCACCCCCTCCCTTTGCACTGCCTCCCACCCCCAAACTCCATCCCAGAGCCTGCACCCCTCACACCCTCCTGCACACCCACCCCCTGCCCCAGCCCAGAGCCTGCACCCAGCACCCAAACTCTATCCCAGAGCCTGCACCCTGTACCCCTCCTGCACCCTAATCCCCAGCCCAGGACCTGCACCCCAGACCTCCTCCCCCCACCCAACCCCCCTCCCAGAGCCTTAGGCAGGTGGGGGGGGGGGGGGTTTTCTGGGCACCACCAAAATTTCTACAACCCTGCCACCCATGCGAGTGGATAAGGGTCGGGGCAGTCAGGGGACAAGAAGCAGGGGCAGTTGAGGTTCTGAGGGGGGCAGTCAGGGGGTGGGAAGTGGGAGGGAGTGGATGGGGGAGGGGCTAGGGCAGGGCTTCCCCCCCCCCCAGTGTCTTCTTTTTTGATTGTGGAAATATGGTAACCCTAGAGGTGAAGGGACTTGCCCAAAATCACACTGTGATCCAGTGGCAGGGCTGGGAATAGGTCCCGGAGCTGCTGGGTTCCAGCTCTGCGTCTGGACCAAGTGCAGCAGCTGTTTAACCACACACCCAACAAATGCAGCATGACAGTTTGAGGCAGGGAGTGAGACGGCAGGGGGAACTGAGGCCAGCAGAACATAACTACCTGAGCAAGACAGACGGACCGAAATGTTCGAACTCGAGGGTCTGAAGTTAGACACTACACAGAAGTTGGTCCTAGGCCTGGATTCTGCTCACAGCCTGGCACAGTGGAGGGAGAGCAGAACCTGGCTGGCGTGGCTTCATGTGACTCTGCTGGACATTACCGAAAACTGACAAGACAGTTCGCTGATGTGTCCATCTGCCCTCCCCGTTCCAAAGGGACCCAAACCAAGGGCAGGCTCTTCCGAGAATGCCTCCCTGTGTTGCTGGCTTTGAAAACAGGGCTCTCTGCGCGTTGAGCCATTTTCTTTTTTGTGTTCCATTCTGTTGTCCTCATCGGTTTGTTTGTTTCTCAGTGACTCAGCACATTAAAGAGCTCCTGGAAAGGAACAGTAAGAAGAAATCCAAATTGAGAAAGAAACCCAAGCCCTATATCGAAGAGCATGATGGTAGGGTCCATGTCACCGTTCATTTAGCGCCTTCCTGTCTTAGACATAGTAGCAAACCTGCTTTTTTTTCCAGCCTCTTACCCTCCCCTCCACCTCCACTTTGGTTCTGTCCATCCTCTTAACTGTTCATTTGGGCTGTGCCTGCGCTAGGGATGAGACGTGTTTGTGAGGCTCCCGGGGCCTGCCTCTACTGTGACTTGGACACTGGTGTGGATGGGGGCCAAATGAGGATCGAGGTGCCTTTGGAGAGCGTGACTGGCCGTGGAGCTGCTCTTTGCACTGGGTGTCGAGCCCAGTTTGGCTCTACTGTGGGGAGTCCTGTCTGACATCCAGCATCAACCCCTGTCCATCCCTAGTGCAGACAGGGCCCGTGCTTCGCTCAGTAGCATTTACAGCATTTGGGCAGGGTTGGCAGTGGTGGGAAATGCCCTGGTAACCAAAGGGGCCTGCAGAAGCAATGGTGGCTGCGATGGAGGCAGTGAATGGGAAGGGGATGAAACACCGTGAATCAGCAGCAGCATTAATGAGTCCCCAGTGTGGGCTGAGCTGGCTTTTCATCATCCGCCTGGGCGCTGAGTCACTGAGCAGGCTGAGCAGTGGTAAATTGCCTGCAGGTTTTTACAGCTATGATGTTGCTGGGATCTTTACCTTGCACCTGTTTGAATAGGTTTCGTTATTTATTGCAATGTACCAATTAGTAGAGGGGGGTGGGAGTGTAATTAACCAGAGCCAGTTAAAGAAATGACTTCGATTTCCTTGTTTGCTGATAGATTAACCTGATCTAGGGTTGGTCGGCTTTTATACTGCAAACCTGCATGGAGGGATGGGGGAAGGGAGGCACCAGGAAAGTGCTGCGCGCTCTCTGTGGCCTGACAAGACATGGAGAGGTTTTTTTAAAAGGGGGAACCTACCTGATGTTTTAATGCTGAGAAATGGGTGTTTAAAAGGTAAGTGTTTGGGACAGATAAATGATCTCTATCAAATATCCTCTGAGCCAGCGTGTGCAGCTGATGAAGCAGTAAAGGGGGGGCGGGAGCGTGAGGGAGAGAGAGAGCTAACTAGCTATTTCATTATAACATTCACTCCAGTGGAATCTAAAGACAGCTCCTGTCTGTCTTGCTTTAACGACAAGAGCAGGTCAGAGGGGGAGCATCACTACCAGCCACACTCCTTTCCAACCCAGAGAACTCGCCCTCTTGAGTTCTGATCTTCCCCTTCTGTGTAGGGCTAACTGCCACGCCCCGGCCCATCTCTCCAGCAGGCCGGCAGTAATGCCAGAGACAGGCTAGCTGCATGGGAGATACCGGTGCCTGCACCAACACAACATCCTGCATCTTGCCACAGGTGTTACAGACAGGGCAATCTTCACAGTGAGGGGCTGGGGTCATTCGGTGATGGGGCTTCTGAGTGGGTGTGGTTCATCTCATGGGCCTCTGAGCCTTTCCCAGCATGGCACGCTTTGACCCTTTGACAAAGTCCTGCCACAACCGGACCCATTGTCTGGGCTGCCTTAACCAGTTGTGAGCAAACGGTAACTCTTGTGCAGCAGCAGGACCTGTTCTTCACTACCCTGCACATGTATGGAGCCATTAGAAACCAATGGGGGACCTGCCGTGCTAGGAAAATGCTCTGTTGTGTAAAATTCCAGCACCCAGCCATTGGCCAAAGGTCAGCAGTCAGCCTGAAGGATGGCCCTTCAGCTCAGTGTTAACCCAGCTCAGTGCGTGCAAGGCGTTGGCAGTCACTGGGGTCTGAAAACCAAAGGCTAGTTTAAATTTCGTCACTGCTTCCCCAGCACCACTTTGAAAAGGAACCAAGTGAGTGCACTGAGCAGTGAGACCGATAAGCCATGAGCACACTGAATATCCAGAGTTCTTACACCTCTGCCCCAGAGCATTCCAAGGGGCGCTAAAAACGTGGCCGTGTGTGTGTGATATGCAATACTAAAATAGCTGCATTGTAGAACGTCTGACTTCCCATGCAGTGCCACCATTCTTAATCATAGTTATATTACCGTGGCACCCAGAGGTCTCACTCAGGATTGGGTCCCTTGTAGATGCTGTACAACACATATGAAGACGTGGCTTCGGGCTGACGTCTGGGGCAAAGAAACATGATGTGCTGAGGCTGTGGGCGGAAATGCATACAGTCCAACAGGTGTAGATGTTTGATTTTTTATCTTAGAAGAAGATGAAGTGCATGCTGGCTGTCCCCATCTGCCCCTCAAACTGGCTTTAACTGCCTGATTTCTTAAAGGCCTCATGGCAGAGGCAGGGCTTATGGGAGGGATCGAAGAAGGATAGTGTAGGTGCCTTAAGAATCAGGGAGATTGTACTGGGCATGGAGGATGGCGGGTTGTATCATGCTGTAATGTTCTGTGGGCATCCCCTCCGATTCCTGAGAGGGACTTTGGACCAGCCGTAGCGGTAGCTGTCTCCAGCCAATCCATCCCATGCTTTACAATGGGCCCTGTGTGGATCCCCATGCAATGCAGACATGGCCAACTCAAACTGATAGTCATGTCCTCACTATCTCGGCTCAGTGCTCTGATCTGAGGAGCTCCCAGTGACCAAGGATGTGACCTGAACACTAGAATACATATCATACTCTTTGCAGCATTTGATACTGGGATATTGGACTAGATGGACCACTGGCCTGATCTGGTGTGACAACTCCTATGTTACACACACACACACACGCACACATAGTGCAACACACACCATATGTTTGGTAGGAACAGATGTCTGGGTTGGGTTTTTTGCCAGGATGAGGTGCTTTATCCCAAAGTGCCCGCTCGTCCCCTCCCCATCTAGCCTATCTCTGTAACATGGCGGGAGACAAGGCAAAAAATAACTCAGCGCTATTCAGGCTGGTCAGGTCTGTCCTTCTGTATGGTTGGGTGCTCTCCTGCTGCCATGAGCTCCTTTCCCATGGTGACAGTGGACAGAAACTGGATTTTTAAAAAGATATTATCAACCTCCACACTTTTAACGCATCTCCCTTCTCTAGCGTCTTTCAGGGGGTCTTAGAATCACAGACCCACAGGGCTAGAAGGGACCACAAGGGTCATCTAGTCTAATCCGCTGCCAAGATGCAGGATTTGTTGTGTCGTCCCAAACAGATGGCTCTCCAGGCTCCTTTTGAAAACCTCCAGTGAAGGAGCTTCCATGACCTCCCTAGGCGTCTGTTCTGCTGTCCTACTGTTCTTACCGTCAGGAAGTTTTTCCTAATATTTCATCTAAATCTGCCATGCTGTAGTTTGAACCCAGGGCCTCTTGTCCTGCCCTCTGGGGCAAGAGAGAACAACTTTTCTCCATCGTTTTTATGGTGGCCTTTCAAGTATTTGTCCCTCCTTAATCTCCTCTCTTCCAAACTAAACATACCGAGTTCCTTCAGCCTTTGCTTATCTGGCTTGTGTTCCAGCCCTTTGATTGTCTTTGTCGCTCGCCTCTGGATCCTTTCCAGTTTCTCTACATCCTTTCTATACGGCGGTGACCAAAACTGGACACAGAACTCCAGCTAAAGACTAACCTAACTAATCTTGGAGCACTTCCCCTACATGAACCAACCCTCACAGTACCCACGTGAGATGGCAAAGCTCCATTGTACAGAAGGGGAAATTGGAGCACTGAGAGGTTAAGTGATGGCAAGCCTACAGCAGAGCGAGGAGTGGAACCCACACATCCTGAGCTTTTATCACTAGCCCATGCTGATCCCCTTAGGAGGCTGCAGGGGAATGAGTTATCGTGTAATAATTCATGCAATAGTGGAGCTCAGCCTTTAGCTTTGTGCCTGACACGTCACCTTCAGTTCACGTGAATTATTGCACAGTAACTTTTGTCCTGTCCATCCTGTGGCTCAAATAACTTAGCTGGAACTGACAATGGTGACATTTAAAAATGGGACATAACTCCCCAAACGAGATGGGCCTTTGTTCTGCAGGAGACATTTGTGTCTGGGAGATGCAGCCACCTGTTACCAGCATGCAAAGTGAAATTCACCCTGGTGAAGTGTACCAGCTCGGGGACCCCTAGATACACCACTTAAGTCCCACTTCAGCTCTGACTTAAGTCGTAACTAAACCTTGTGGGGCTTAAATACAGCCAGCCTGCTTGGATAAAGGAGGAGCACTGCATGCTGGGATCTAGCTCCACCAGCCACATTTCCACTGAGGACAGTCTCATGCTGTGCTGTAGAACTTCATGCACTGTGGGTGCACTCTTATCGCACCTCTCCACGTTCACATTTGTCTTGCTTGCTGATTGACACCTCGAAGGCACTCATCACCGTCGTAGCTAAGCACCTCACACACATTAATAAATTAGCCTTGTAACCCACCCCCCCGAGGTAGGGAAGTGTTAGTATCCCCAATTTACAGATACGTAAACTGAGGCACAGAGGAAGGAAGTAACTGATTCAAAGTCACCCAGTGAATCAGTTGCAAAGGACGGAATAGAATCCAGTTCATCTGACTCCTAGCTCTTTGTTATAAGGCTTTGTTTCAATGCAGCACTTCAATGTGTGCTTAAAGTTAAGCATGTGCTTAAGTGCTTTGCTGAATCAGGGAATTTTTAACCACAAGGGACCATCCAGAAGAGAGTATCTGCATCTTACACAGGTCTAGTCCTCTTGTCGAGGGTTTACAGAATAAGCAATACCTTAAACCTTGCCTGTTCTTGGAAGACATGGGCCATGTGAGTTGCCCCATGGACTTCAACAGAGCTGCTTGAGGGAGTAAAGTACCCAAGTGTTGGCAGGATCAGTACGGTCATGGGACCTTCTTCTGGGACAGTCTCAGTTTTTCCTGTGATGTCCTAGGTCAGCTGAAGTGTTCTGGTTTTTCATTTGATGAATCAAAACGTTTGAGGTTCTATATAACTACAAAATGTGTTACCAGATGTGGTGCTAGCCCAGGCAGGATCTACTGAACGATGAGTGGTGTTTGGAGCAAAGGGAAAAGTCGAATGAGCATAGACACTCTCCCCAAGCAGCTGTTTTGC